ATACCAAAAAAAAAAAAAAAGAAAAGAAAAAGAAACTGCTCAGTGATGATATTGCAGCTTGACCACATTATAGGCCCATTCATTTTAAGTGCTAGGGCAACAGGGGGTCATGTCTTATGAACCACTGGCAGGGTAGAATACCCCAGGCCCAGTGGGTTAACCTAACAGGAAACCTGGAGGATACACCCTATTAGGCCTCTACTTCCTGCTACTTTCAGGCATGTACAATTTATGAGCCGAGAGGTACAGTGCACCACTGCAGATCTGATGGATTTCCTCTCCAAAAGAACTGAGCCAGAGCATTCTATAAAAGAAAAATGATAAAAAAAAAACAGTCCAAAAAAAAAAAAGAGCCAGATAAGGTGAATAAAAGAACCATCTGCTGGGCACTCTGCAAAGCTTTGTGCCAAACGGTCTGGAAAGAATCACACATCTTGGCAGTACACTCTATAAATAAACTCTGATCCTTATAATTCAAATGAAATGTAGGAGGATATTAAATAGATCCTCTTGCCTCAAAGCCTCTTGCATATTAGTGCCAGTGGTTTTAATACAGCAAGAATCAAGAATAGGTGCTTATTAGAAATAACTCAAAACTAATAACAAAGATGGCTTTAGACCAGCTGCAGTCTTATATTGTGTCTCAGATCTATTTCGCAACAAACTGATACATGTTCATACTTCTCCATTTATTGAAGAGAGTTTCTTTTCTGTGAAAATGCTTTCAAATGAATAAGCAGGAAAATGACATAACTTCAGCATCATAGTGATGCAGGAATAGAAAGCCACAAACACAGCAGAGGAGTGAAAGACATAGGACCCAGTGGATTTCTACAGTAGGTGTTTTTGTGCGCTAGAATGATTACCTACCAATGTTGTATGGCTGCAAAAGGGCAATGAACACCCCCCATTCCTCGCCCCAAGTGTTCCTCTTAACACACATGCCTCTGTTAAAGTTCACATCTTAAAGTTTTTGCAGTTTGCTTTGGGGTTTAAAAAATCTGCATAAACTACCGTGTGTACGGTCCTGGGGTTTTTTTGTGTGTGTGTGGGTGACATACATTTGCCAAACCATCAAACAGTGTCTCCTGTAATCTGTCTGAAGCTTTCAGACACTTCACTTTCATGACGAAACATGTGCGTCTTCTCCCCCACCTTGTCGTATAGCACCTCGAACAACAGAGACGTTGTGCTGTGGTAGATTTTCTTTTTTTGTAAATCACAGAAATCGAGTGCATGCTGTTCTGAAGGCAGATGAAGTACTACTGCTATTAGTGCTACTGCTGCTAAAAATAACAATTATATTAATAATGAAAAATTAGGAAAAATAATTCATCAAAAAAACAATGGAAAAATCGAACTTCTAGGAATGGAAATAGAGAACCAGTTCTTGTAAAGAAGTGGTTGGTTGCCAGTTGTTCAGTTCCTTGCAATGTTAGTCAATTCCAGTTATGAGTTCCACTAATGTCAGGATGCATTTACATGATGACGTGGTCCGTATTTTGGTTCAGAACATATCCAACATGGAGCTGAGGCAGAAGTGCTCTAAAGCATAGTTCTATTTCACAAGCAAAGACACCGTGACGAATGAAAACATGGACAAACATTTCTCCCCAAAGCATGTAAGTAATTTGCACGAATGCAATGTCTTTGATACACTGCCTAGCGATGTTGGTGACTCTCAAAGTGGAACTTAGAACACAACATCCTCTGTCTTTAGCCTTTAACTGAAAGAATAGGAGAAGGCCGGTTATCCTCGGCAGTCTATGTGAATAAAGCTCAGTGGCTGTAAGAAGAACGTGGTTCTAACAGTGATCTCAATTTTAGCTTTTACAGTTTGAGCTTGGCATGAAGACGCAATAACAAAAATCCAGTGATGGGGGCAGAATGGTCTGCAGGTGATCTACTAACAAAGGACTCATTTATATACAATGACATCACAAACCTTTGGACATGTTGCTATAATCACCCCCTACACACTGAGGTAGTACTCAGCTGTAACGGAAACCGAATCAAGTCGAGTCAACTATTCTTATTTTTTCATGCCAGTTCTAATCAAATGCAAAATGTTTGTAGATACTTTACATTAAACATGTAATGCAAAACAAATCAATTTGTACTACACTTTTTTCTCTAACCCTAAGTGATATCTAAGTGATATCAATAATGAAATCAGAGTTGCAAACTTCTTATCAGTTTCCATCCATACTAACTTTATTACAGCCTGCCACTTCTGTATTGGTATCACCATCAGTAGACAAGCAGAATCAGGATAAATGGACAAGAATAAACGGCAAAAAGAGACATGAGAGGAAGGATAGCAGGAATGAGGTTACGTTGAGTTCGAAGGGGATTTAAGAGGGAGGATGGCTGGTTGGACAGTTGTGTAAAGAAGTATATCAGGAATAGGAGGATGAGACAGGAGACAGGCAAGCAGTCTCCATGGCTGTCAGAGATGATAGACCAACTCGGCATCTCGTAAGAGCCTGTCTCTGACTTTTATCAAGGTGCAGTAAAACACTGATCTCTGCATGGCTTAGATACAAACACGGTATTTCGCTTTTTCTTTCCCTTCTGCTAATGAAGTGGTAGAATATAGCTAGGCCCCAGTCCACGGGGATGCCTTTAAACATTAACCATAAGTAGTGAGTAGAGAGTGCAGGTAAAACAAAAAAATTACTAAAAACTTAATGATAACTTTACCATTGTCCAACAAACGCGGCTGTTTGAAAAAAAAATTATCATTATAATTATCAAAATAAAAGGATCATGGCAGCACAGCCTGATAGACAGACGAGGCTTTCTCCTGGCAACACTTCCACTATCTTTAAGAATATTTTTTTCTCACTGTGGAATAATGGACTTCAACTTTTTTACAAATGGCCTTATAATCCTTCTCAAGTTGAAAGGCAGCCTAGGCTTATTTATAAATAACTCAGGGTGGATTCACATGATCCAACCCTAACTATACATTTGATCAATTAAAATCCTATGCAGTTTAATTTTATTTATATAGCACTAAATCACAAAAAGGTACTTTATATTATAAGCTAAAGACCCTACAATAAAACAGAGAAAATCCCAACAATCAGAAGACTCCCTATATTTGGTTTAACCTTGCCACTTGTTATTTTTATGAGCTTTTCTTTTTTGTTTAAATTCTTCTTCAGAATAAATTCTTCTCCAGAAGAATTTCTAGAAGAAGTCAGAAGTCAACATATAGTAAAGTTAAAGTGCAAAGGTTAAAGCTGGTCATGGTCACTGGTCACTGTATGTGAAATTAAAGATTTTATTATCCCATCTAATATCTATTTTGATATTACAAATAACTTGATGTCATCACAGTATTGCAGTTCTTTACTGAATCGTCAATTTTGCTGTTTGTTTTCGAACATGCTAATAATCTGTAAAGGGAACATGCATCGGGGCGGGAGGCATGAGAACTGAAACGTAGACATACAGAACTTGTCAGCTCTATAAATGTTGTTTTAGCTTTGTTTCCGGTGTATGCTAGAATACTTGCATACATTCCAAAGTCAATCCTACTTCACACTGTTGTATTAAGATATTTTTGTTGTTTTTGTTTCATTTGTTGTTAACTGAATCTCCATTAACAAGGTTGTGTACGTGTCTAAGCTCTGAAGTGTTTGTCAAATATCACATCAGATATTAAACTAATGATGAAGTCATTTTCCACATCGAAGTCTAAATTAGCACGACTCCCATTGGCTGTCTTCCAAACTGTATCTTAAGCAAACAAAGGACACCATTATTTAATGAAATAAGCAGTGATTGTTGTCACGTAGGCCTCAGTGACTTAACTTCAGTTGTCTGATTCAGTTAGCTGCACCTTGATACAATACAAATACAAGTCCTCTGAATAAGAAGATAATCAGCAAAAAAAAGAAAAGAAAATCCTCCCATTTGCCCTATATGAAGGCCAAAGCACTTGCCCTGTATCAAAAATAACTTGCCTCTCCCACTAACAGATGATGACATTTGGAGCATGATTTAGCCTTGTCGCCAAGTTAGTATCAATGTGGGGCCTTAGGTAAACACATTTGATAGGACCCAAAGGTCTCGCACCAGCATTAGGCTGAGAGGACAGGCAAGTGTGCAGGCCCTTGGCCCTACTAAGAATCAGCAGAAGCCAAGCAGGAAACATCTGGAAGACCCAGTGCAAACAGATGTCGGAATGAGATAAGAGCCCATGACTTAGAGTTCAGCCTCCCATCTCTGTATGATGAGGCTTTGTAATATCCAGGTGGGCTGTAGCAGTGACTCCAACAGCTCAAAGGTCCAAATAATCAAACTGCAGGGTTTTTTTCTTTCTTTCTTTTTTCTCACACTAGCATCTGGTCGGGCTGTGAATGTTGTCAGTAACTTGTGTTCCATTGTTCTTATAGTCTCATTTTGATCCATTGTCAGCCAGACTCTCATGAGACTCCCTTTATACAATGTTTTTGCCTCCCCGGGTCACCATTTACATCATTTCCTGCTATAGTTTTAACATCGGCTGGGCAACAAAGTATGCATGAATAGTTAGCCATTGACTTGTAATGCCAACACTTGAGCTTCATTGTTGTGCTGCGGATTGTTTGATTTGAATTCTAGTGTCAACTGTATTGTTTATTTTCAATTGCTCATCTAAACACTTGAGGCCATAGTTTATGAAAAACATAAAAGTAAAAAAAAAAATTGGCAAGAAACTAGCAGAACCATGCATGCGTGTGAATGTAAATTCAATTTGAAAGTGTATCATTGTGCTCCAGTTTTTAACCCTTTGCCTTTCCGCCATCACAAAAACATATTCGCATCCTCCTTATCACTGTTGATTACTTTGCGTGAGGAACATAAAACAGAGAGGGAAAAAATAACAGATAAATTATGAAGAAAACTATGTCATTCGCACAGATGAGTAGAAGTCACAGGGGAGGTTTGGTTCCTGTTAAACTATAAAAAGGACTCTCTTGGGACATAAGATCTGAAGTGGAACTCACAGATTGTTCTGCAATCAGAGGCGACTGCACACCACCAGCCTGGATCTTCATAAACTGGTAAATAACGGGTCCTTGGTGACATGGAAAAGTTATATAAAAGTTAGTCAGGGAAAGGTTATGAATATATGATTTCAAGAAAGTACCAGGTAAAAAGTTACCAAGTATTTCTTTTAACAGTCAATCAAACATTTATAAAGTTAGAGATAAAAAGCTAATTTGTCTCAAAAGTGAAAGTCTGATTTCATGTGCTCATTTCAACAGCAGTTACAAAAACACTGGAATTGCCCATAAATGTGAAGATATGAAAATTACCTAATGACCCTTTTGTTTCTTTCAGGACTGAAATATCGACTCATGTACCTGATATTTATTGTCTTATAAAGTTCTCAGACTTGTTAACATGTTCAAAAGAACTTGATATCAATCAGCATCAATAAACTCCCACCAAAAACAAAATACTGTAGTGAAAAACTGTACAATCCTTTCTATTAAGGATCAGGTTAAACTTGGCATTTTAGTGTCTTATCTGTCTTAACTCATTCAATTCAACTCAGTTTTATTTATATAGCACCAAATCACAACAATAGTTGCCTCAAGGCGCTTTACATTGTAAGGTAAAGACCTTACAATAATACAAAACATGTTACCAAATGTCTGCGTGTTCATTTCTAGCTTGTTCATTGCCAGGAGCTGGAGCTCAGTTGGTAAATTCATTAATCACTAAAGATGGCTGATGAAATCATCATGTTGAGATTCAAGGGCCCTTGAGTAAAACAACAAACCCCAAATAGTAACCAATGTGCATTAAGTCTACAGTATATGATTTCTTTTTTTTTCTTTTGGACAGAAGCATCAATAAAATGTAATGTGCTATAGCACCAATCTGCACAAACATCTGGCATTAGCGTATCACAAACAGACACAAGATGCAAGTTTCTCTGCTTCACACTGTCTCAATCACACCCTTTTACCCACGATAATTAAGAGCCAAACCACCCCGTGATGACCACTGGTACACCACACAAACAGGAAGTAGAGAAGAGGTCAGTGAATGAAAGGAGGAAGCGCTGGCAAACAGCAACAATGCAAGAGGAGGAAACCCTTCCATTATAAAAAGGAACAGACCCCTGCAGTGTGCTGTTCAGGGTCATGACTAGTGGAATGGAAGACAATAGGGGAACAAGGCCGCTGGCTGACCAGCGTAGGTGTGTTGTGTCTGTGTGGCTGAGATAGTAGAACGTCAAGGGTCAATGGAGACACGAGCAAAGCAGTGGCAAAACAACAATGAAGCGCATGATAATTCAAACCCCAGTGCTGAAGTACAGAGTTCACAACTCCTCAATCTTTTTGCTCAAGTATATAAAGTATATGAGAAATGCAGTAAAACCCTTAATTGACCTTTGGCCAAACATTCAGTTGGCTCCGTTAATTTTTTTCATTCTGTTATGTCTCTGTGTGTATTTGTATGTATATAAAAATACATATATGTTCAACTGTATGCTATGCGTGTGACAGATGGGGAAAAAAAGACACCCTGTTTTCACATAAAGCAGACTGTTCAGCTGTTAAGCGATGGACCTCCACCCAGTTTCAATGAAGCATCATCACAGCAGCAGCCAGACACTTCCCAGAGGAAATCCTTTGCCAGGCCAGACACAACAGTATAATTATTATCACAATGTACCATCTGCCTCTGTTTTTTGACAGACTGAGTCAGTATGTGTGTACATATGCATATTTACTCTATGGCTATATGAGTCATGTGAGTTTTTATTTTCTTAATTGCTAAATAGAACCGTTTAAGGTTCAAACATTCTTACTTCAGTCACTCATGTTTTCACGGTACTTTGCATGCAATACATGTTTTTTGCAGAAATGTAATTAACTCTGGGGGGGCGGGGGGCTGAGGAGACAAATGCCGCTGACAGAGGAGACAAATCATACCTGTGGGTGAAGAACAACTCTTATCTTGAGAGGCAAGTCCTCAGATAAAAAATGACAAGTGTAATTTTGACAAAAAAAGAGCACAGGGTCTTTAGGCCTGCAATGGATCACACATCAATTACTATATTTGGATAGATTTTGACAGGTTTAAATGTGGTACATAAGCAGGTAATGGTTTGGGAGATAATGGACATTTAACTGGTCTGAACACTGCCATACTGTCAAAAAGATAAATTGCCAGGTCATGAAAGGGGCTTAAACAAAAGAGGAACATTAGTTGACAAGCATGCATATATTTAAATTATTATTAGCTTACTTTCTTTACTGCAATCCATCATTTTTAGGTGAAATTACAATGTTTATCTGACATGTGAGATTGAAACTAATCACTGCTAATGACTGAAATAATTGATTAAAAAATACTGAGCTGGTGTGTGGCAGTGAGAAGGGAGGAGGCAAACGTTGAATTATCGGTAGCGTATAAAATACCGAATTACCATTTGTGCATTCAAATGAATCCTTGAAAAGTTGTGTGTTTAATTATATGTTGACACAAACGGTGAACACCATCTTCACAACGTGAAAAAGCGGTAATACAACACCTTGGCATGCCAAGACCTAAGCACAAACTAGTCCTTACACACCAAGGAGGAGGCTGAAGTCTCCAAGGACTTGGCTAAGCCAGGGGAGTATGTAACATGGAGGGCAATGTCCAAGGCCTTTCACCTTGGAGCTGTTAACAGTCAGGTCTGTGATCCCAAGGCCTGAGTTAAAGACCCCCTTGGGTTTAGGACCGTAACCAGAGAGTTGGAATAACAGAGGGGGCAAGCACCATGCAGTGATGTGGTGGGCTCAGTCCTACTCCCTGCTCGGGGCCTGGAGAGAGGTCACAGGGTAAAACTTTTTTCTTTTTTGCTGCTTCACTCCATCTCTCTTTTTCTCACTCTTTTTGACTCTCTGAAACTTAGATCAGTTTTGCATAAGGTTAGAAAGAGGTGGCCTGCTGGGGCTGGTGGTAGGTGGACACAGTGGCTTCCTTAGTCTTAACACATTTATCACTGAAAGCCTTGAAGGTGTGGAAGGAAAAAAGGCGGCAAGTGTGAAGTGCATTTTTGTGTCACCTTATATGCATTGTAACTACTTTCTTCAATTGTTACAATTATTACACACAATATGCTCAGTCTCGTGTTTTCTTCTTCAGACACAGGTGATTCAATTTTAGCTTCTGATTAAATCCCACTTTTATATTTGGCCAGCTGCACCATTTAACCTCAATATTTAATATGAAATAATCTCAAATTTTAACAGCATAAAATGTTTTCAGCTAATATATACATGTTTTTTCCATACAGGTATTTTCCTACAGAACAGATTTGATAAATAGATTTTAAAAAAGTTTTGATTTTGTTTTCGTGCAGCACATCAGCAATTCTCTGGGCTCTAACAGGAATGAGGTGAACTTGTTGATTTACTCAGTTTGAGAATTTCAGACTTTGCAATTTGCTCACCAGGGGTCTCAAACTCGCCCGGGAGCCACTTATGGCCCATGTCACCCCGATATTGCCGTGGAGAATTATAATGCGATTTGGCCCCTGAGCTTACTTTTTTTGTTAGGGAGGATTTGTTTGTTGTTGAGTGCAACGTTAAAATAAGTTCTTTAAAAAGCAAAAAATGATTTAATATGAGCAGAGAGTACAAACATGTTGAGGGATTGGTTGTGTTAGTTTAGTGAGAGAGTTGTCTGTAAAGAAAACAATTTTGACTAGCAGTCAAAAACGAATGTGCACACTTATGTCTGCATTTTTGTTTTGTTAAATACAAACAAAATGACAGCAAAAGTGCTGCCACGTGTTTGGCAAGAAGGAGAGTAACAATTTGTTTAGTTGGTAGTTCAATGAAAAAGGAGGCTTCAGAAAAACAATTGTGTTCACATTTGCAGTTTATTTGAAATTTTTTTTAAAAAACCAAACAAACACTACATTTTCTTGTTTGGTGGGGGGTTGTTTTTGTACTACTTGAACACTAAAGTGTCCCTCCAAAGAGATGACAGCAGTGGGCCACAGCTCATTTAAGTTTGAGACCTTTGCATTGCACCATCAGTTCCAAAGCCAACAAACCATGCACTTAATTTCCTTACAGAAAGCAGCCCCTTGCATAGCTAAAACTATCACTTTGAAAGAAGAGTTTTCAATTGTGTCATGAAGACGAAACGTGCTTCTTCAGAAGAAGTGACTTGGATGAGTGACGAAACGTTTCTCCCATTGAAAACGTTACGTCCAGATGAACAGAATCAGCCTTTTGGGGCATAAGTAGGAACATGTAGACTAGAGGTTTCTACCGAATTGCACCCTTATTAACAACTAACTACCACACCACACCTCATCTTTGCTAGTAGGCAATCTTTATTTACAAATTTGTTAGCTAAATTCCAAGTTGTTTAACATAATAAATAATCTAGTATCGTGCTAGCTGATAAAGGTTCTATGCATGGTAATATTTGTAGTAACATTAGACAAAACAACTAGGTTTAACTTGGCTGTGTTATTTGCAGCTTGCATTCAACTGTTAGTTTTGAAAAGAGCAGGCTGAATAATTTACCGGCGACTCAGCTCTCAGGACAAATAAGCTGAGCCACCATAGCTTGCAATTCAGGTCAGCTAACTTATGCTCACATTAGCACAAAAAAGGTAAAAACATTTAGCCAGACAAGCGTTGCCAGAGAAAACTGGCTGGCACGATTCACTCTTGTTTATTGACCTATTACCCCATTAATGTTTTAGTACTACAGAACAGAACTATAAAGTGCTACCAAAACCCCCAATTATATTTAACATGCATTATGTCACTATCAGTGGACATCAGGGACAGCTAAGTCAATGGAAATATTACTGTTTCAGAATAAAAATGAACCATCAGACTTACTTTAAAAATGGGTCCGTTTCACGCATATGTTGCTTCATTTTTATGTCAACATAAGGTGGATTATGAAGCGGTTGCAATGTATGCAGGCTACTTTAGCGCAAGTTGTCATTTAAATTCATAATAAACACACTTTCGGTTTCACATCACAGAACAAGGACCAGAGTATGCAAAGTCTAATCACTTTATCCTCGTAGTCTGTCAGCTCAAACCCCTGTGTATCAGTTTAGTTAAACAGAGGAATGGAAAAATTTAAAGGTCAAGTTGAGCGGCGGTTGATTCAGTTCACACAACTTTGGTAACCTGATTTTTTTCCCCCTCTTACCTGATTTGCTTGTGTGAATTGAAGTGAGGTTTAAATAACCCTTAAAAAAATCTCACACCTTCAAGAGGGTTGGTAAACAAATGCTAAGCATCCCATGGGTGTGGAGCTCGGCGAACCGCAGAGCCTTATTTGCTCCTGCTTGTCTCAGCTTGCGGCTGTGTATTTCTGTCCTTCTGAAGATGCAAAGGTAGCATGGTAGGACACACATCAGTACACACACTTTTGTGCATACACCCTTGCAGAAGAAACACACGCACACACACACATGCAAACACAGCGTACTTAAACACGCAGAGCCCTGCAACAAAGCAACCAAAAATAACAGGCACCTGTTGCTCAAACCACAACGTCTACAATGAAGCCAAATTAGAGCGTCTCCCTAGCAACGGTAATTTCAATCACAAGCTGCAGCAAGCAGCCTCGAAAACAACCCCATTTAAACATCGCTGCTATGTGAGTCACCTGTAAACAATGAATAAACATATGTGCATGCATGTTTAGCCAATTCCTTTATTTCATGAAAGTGGATGTACAGCCTAACACTGAATGATATGTGACCCTCTGAGACATCTGCCAAACCCCTCCACTCTTTGAGGGTAAAAGGAAATCACGCTACCATTAGTGGCTGAAACATGATTGCAAGAATTTCATTGAAGTGTTACGATAAAAAGCTTCCCAGCCACAGACGGCAACTACTCAGACTCTAACCGAGTGGGCTGCTGTGTTCATGTGTTGTAGGAGCTCCTCTAGTGGTCGCAAGCAAAACCTTCAGGAAGTTGATGCGTTTTAGCATCCACATTGTGTCTCAATGAGAAAAGCACATTTTTTGATTGCCTGTTTAGGCCATTTGCAACGGAGACAGGCGTGCAAATAGGCATGTTGTATTTACACCTGATAGCATTGTCTGAGAAAAGCAATAAAGGTAAATACATGTGCATGAAACCTATATAACTTAAATCCAATTCAAATATGCAAATGGGATGGGAAAAATATTTTTTACACATTGCTAATGAGGGCAATTTACCATTATACACATGCCTTTTATACATATATATCTCTTCTCATGAACGCAAGAAGGAGGCAGCTTCTTCACAAAAGAAAACTTAATTGGAAGCACATGTGTTGCCCTGTGCAGGAGTTTAGGATGGTTTGGGAGGTGGGTGGGGGGTGTAGGGTGCTGCTGTGAATGAGGGTGTTAGTGATGGGAGAGAGAAAAACACAAGAGGGGGGAAAAAATCTGTTTGTGGGGGGTGGGAGCGAAGGCCTGGCGGTTGGGAGGGCATGAGAATATAAACTCCGACGTAAGTGAGGCGATTTACTCAAGCCTGGGAATTCAATGCGGGGGTGGAGTTGGGGGGTTAGTGTGAGTGGGCTCAATTTAAACCACATTGCTATCATAAATAAGACATGTCTTCTTTCCGTGTCTTTCTTTTTTTCTTTTTTTTTTGCTTCCCTTTCTCGCCAATACCACAGTGATGTACAGCGTCTGTCACTCAGAGCAGCCTGACATTTGTCAGTATGCAGATGGCTCCGATAGCACAAGTGCACCCGGTTTGTTTTTAATCACAGTCCGGCAGCATTAAAGGTACAAGGGAATATAATTCAAAGTTGGATAGGATAACGTGGATTTGTGCAGTAATTATGATTCATAATGGCAGTCGCCTCGTAACTCCCGTTCTTCTCCTTAACAAATTGAGTGGAAATGCTTCCAGCTTGAAAGACCCTTGTTTGGATGATACATGAAGCTACTGTAGCACGGACTCTTCAACTAAGCAGTTTTATTTCAGTCGTCACCCCCCTCCTCCACCCCGCTTGTTGCTGCAATAGGAGAATAGGAGACCAACATGAGAACAAAAGGCCATGGGACTGAGTTTATATACATCTCCTCTGTGGCTCAGTCAGATTTATATACTTTCATAGAAGTGGACCCAAAATGTCTGGCTCAGGGCCTGAAATCCCATCCTTGTGTTTGGACAACATCCAGGAAAATAATGTCTTATCATAAAAAGGGCACCTTTTTTTCTTGAAATGTATTATTATAAATTACAGAGGGTAGGCAGGTGAAAGAAGAACAGCATAAACACTGAAAGAGCTGAGTGATGAGCACATGGAAAGTGGGAGCAGGATGAAGATGATTTTTTCTTTTAAAGGAAGCTGTGTACAAGGATGCTGAGGATGATGGGATCAGGAGGAGAAAGATAAGCGTCTCAGAGTTTCATGGGGAAACAGCATTGACTGCGGCTTGAAAACGCGGGGGTCACGTCGCTGTTCTCCACCTTTACTTCCACTGAAAGATGTTTGTGCCCCTCCCACCCTTCCAAATGGTGCTCAATTCTGGCAGCACCTGAATACTGGGTCTCATCAGGGCTACCTGCCAGGGATTAACTAGAACCTGTTACCCCTCTGTGTCAGATGAATGAGCTCTGTCTCTCTTTCTCTCACCCACACCCACCAAACCATGCACACACGCGTGTATTGTAAGAGTCTGTAATAGGAACCAGCTGGGCTTTCAAGGCCGCGCAGTAGGCCAGACAGGCCCATTCATAACCCTCTAGTGAGTTTTAATGAAGGTGGGTTCAGGGGCAGCAGCAGCGTGGAGGGGAAATGATGAAAGAGGGCAGACGGTCTACTCCTTCTTCCTCATGCTCTCCACCTTCCAGTCAGGGAATGTACTGTACTCAAGCTTGAGTAGGTGAGAGGTTCACCTTTAGCCCAGTCATTCAAACTTAGCTGCTGTAACCTGCACAGAGTGAATGAACACTAGTATGTTTGGACAAAAAGCTGAGACTGGAAATTGAGAATAGTTTCTACTCACTTTAAATTTTTATAAAAAGCACCAAATATAGTAAAAAAATAACTCAAACTGAGTCACACTTTTAAAGGCATGCTTTGCAGCCCACATATAAAGGAAGTTATTGTAACTGAAGGTATTGTTGAGTTTGTGTAAGTCTTTGAGGTAGCACATTTCATTCAAATGATGTGGATGTAATGATGAGCTTCACAAACACAATCCATAAATACACAGTAATCAGTGTTCGCTATTGAGACACTATTGAGATCTTAAGATTACAAAGCAGGAATCAGATCCGTTACGGATCATTCTATGTGTGATGGAAACCTTGCACGAACGGTGCATTTTGCGATCTTTTATTTACCTATACATCAAAATCCATAATGAATGCCAAATGCTATGTGGTGCTATGGAGATTTGAAACATTTCTTCATTTGCATACGAGAAAACAGGGTTGTTTCAAGGAATGGTCACCTCCATCTTGGTTTTTCTCAGGCTCGATTGATGGTGCGTAACCTGAGCCGGTGAAGTAACTGTGAAGAAACAGCCCTTTTACACCCTGAGGTCAGGCTGACGTGAACACCAATAAACCGGGCACTGGCACACATTCCATTGTAAAATGCACAGATAAACAAAAGAGCTATTCTAAACCAAAAGTGTAACTGTCTGTATCCCAAAAAAATATTATTATTGAAAGGTTTTGGAGGGGAAATATGGAAAGAAGCTGTCTGGGTTTGGTTACACAGTATGGCCAAATTTCAATAGTTTAAATAGTCTCACTTTATATAGTGCAATAATAAGATTAGCATGATATATTAGATAGTAAACAGTGCTAGTCCAGTGTGATTTGGCATAATGATACTTAAGTCACTGTAAGGAAACATAACCAAATATGTGCTGTATGTTTCATAAGAATTTTTGCTCTTTGTAGGTAATTTCCGCTCTGAGCTTGACGCCTTGGCGTCACACTGTGTGGGTGTTTGAGGTGCAGCCCTAAAATGGTTCAAATCATTTCTTACACATATAAGTTTCATTTTCTATGATGGAGGCTAGGTGTCAGATTCCCCTGCGGCGTGGTGTCCCACAGGACTCTGCTCTTTGGCCTCTGTTATTTATTTCATATTAGCGACCTCAGAGTGTTTGAAAGTTCTAATATCTGTACTTATTTGCTTATGATATCCAATTCAAATAATCTGCAAATAAGTGTTAGTATATAGACTGGAGGGTACAGTCTCACACACTGACACAAATCAAGACTTCAAAGCAAGTTATTCTACTGTAGAAACATGCGCAGATAGAAATGGTGGCTTGCAGCACTGTAGCTGCAAGCCTGAGTGCTCTTCACTGCTTTTGTTCTCTGGCTTCTCGACTAGGGTTGGCTAGCTTTGTGCTAGCATGCTGTCTTTGCAGATGTTTAATAAGGGCTGAAGTTGTGTTAGCCACGTCGCCCTGCCTTTTTCATGCTCTGTCTGTTCACTTGAGGCTGGTTAACTCTGTGGACTCTAGAATTTCAGGCATTAACATTTGTTCTTTATTTGCATCTTGATGAGGACTAATTAGCAGGTAACTATGTATATGCAATGCACCCATACAGTCTTTAGTTGCAGCTTGCTAATGTTAGCATGAACTCATAACTCACATTATCTTCTTCTCCAAACATGGCCATGTCTGGCTCGAGAAACACACCAAGATGACAGCAAATGAACCAGTGGGTGTTATTACGGTGGATATGACCATCATTCATGTACAGTCTTAGGGTGTGAGTCGGGTAAACATTATGTTGTATGAAAAAAATGACAATGTGGCCACTTTCAAGAGTAAATTTTAGCATAGGCACAAGTTTCATAAAATTTACATGACTGTTAACAACTGTCCTGGAGGAGATGAGTTGTTTTTTTTTCCATTTCTTTTGGCTTCATTGAAATTAAGTGGAAGTCCACAGCAGAGCAGGCAAACAGTCTCATTAGACACACACAGTCATGCATACTAACTACACTCACACGAACACAAATGCAGTACACAAATGTTTTTGGTGGGCAGATGGAAAGAAATCGGGGGGTATGTCACAAACCTCCCACGCTCTTCACTTCAGCCTTGGTGGCCACACAGCCTTTGATATTTCCCACATAATAACTTGGTGGTTTTTCAGCTAACCCCAGGAATGTTCATATGAAACAAATAGCACAACGCATGACTTCGTTGCGCAGGCTTTTGCTTGGTTATGATAATGATGCAAGAAATATTTCAACAGTGTAGAAGCTTGATCTAATCTTGCTTTCACCTTTGTAAACCATTGTGGGATTAAAAGAGAGTTTGCGTAAGCATAAGCCTGCCTCAGAAAACTGCTGAAACATTAGCCATGCTTATCTATGATGCTATGTAAGCAAAAACGGATTAGCATAATGCTACTTATACCAACTGTCATATTATGGAGGCCACATATTAGGCCACATATGAATAACAAAAATACACAAGAAAAAAATACTGATTCAAATGCCAATTTTAAATAACCAGATGTAAGCTGATTAGTAACCATGCGCCATGTTGTCTTTTCCTCTTGCTGGACTCAGAAATGCAAAAATTATATGATAATGGCATCATTTCTGCATTTCTACAATATACCATCTAGAAAGGTACTAAAGCATTGCACGCCCTTAGCAAACTGGGTGTGGCGATATACATTTTTATCATACAGGGCTGAGACTTGAGTGAGCAAGCGGTCATTTGTAGCTGAAAAGAAGATGGCTCTCTTGCTCTTATGGGTTTTCCTCTCTCATCACCATCTGCATGCTGAAGCACCATTCA